TTTGCAGCACACAGACTGCTGTGTTCTTCCGTCCTTGGTGTCTGCACTAGACAACAGGATACAGAGCTGCTGCTTGGTCATTGCTCATGCTCTGTCATATTTGTCATAGCACTGTTCAGTTGAATCATGAAAGCTGTGTAGGTATGTTTATTCCACACTTGTTCTGCAGCAGCCCAAGAGTTTATGTAAATGCTTTTCTAGAATGCTGGTGACAATCCTGGGGCTATGTCTTACCAGCTGAAGATCTGTAATATTGCCATTTAGAAATGCAGTGTGACATTGCTTGAATTAGAAAAGAACTGGGAGGAGTATTATTAAAGACTTCTTCAACACAAGCAGCTCAGGATCAGAAATTCAGGGGGTTAGAAAAGCTAGCAGTAGCAGGCACATACTGTTTTGAGTCCATACCTCAATTCATGTGCATAGAACAGCAGAGATACTCTGAACCTGCCAGGTCCTTGAGGGAACAGAACAACCATCCCAATGTGTTACCACGTACAATAGCTGGGACTCTGAGTCGGGAAAGGGCGGAAGAAGAAACACTTAATTAAAGAATAATGCAACACAAGATCAAAAATAAGTCATGAATAAGCTCAGACTGGAAATCAGGTTTCTAACCAGGAGAGGAGTGAGGTCATTGAAAAACCTTCCAAATAGATTAGCACAGGCAAGGAACTCACATTGTTTCAAGATGGACCTGGAGAAAATCATGGAAGGGAGCATATGGCAGGAGTTGGAAATTAAGACTCGTGATACAGAGCATTTGTTTCTATCTCCCGGTGTCTTGTATTAGGAGCTAAGAAGGAACTTATTTCCTACGGCAACCTTTCCTCTATTCCTAACTTGGCTTCTTTATTTATTTATTTATTTATTTATTTATAAATTCCATCCAGAACGTTTAAGAACTGCTACTACTAAAAAAAGCCAAACACCCCCTGCTCCCACACAGGACATTAAGGAACTTCACATCAGAAAACTTGTTAGCTGTTTCACTTGTATGTTCAGGGTTTAATCAACAATTAGATTTATATTTAAAAAATGGAGTTTTCCTGCAGGCCATGTTGCTAGGGTCCTCAAACACAGGGCTTGCACCCTTCCTTGAGTCATTTGCTTATTTTCATCTTAGTTGGTGCAATGGTAGGGAATTCTGACAAAAATATACCCCTTCTTTTGCTCTCTTCTTGGGATGTAAGGTAGCTCTTGGTGATTCTGGCCTCATGCTAAAGGTCTTTGTCACACACTGTTAAAGGGTCTTTTGGGGGAAATGGGTGTCCTACAGCCCCTTTTAGAGAATGATCTGCATCTAGTTGGTGACAGTTCCTGCACATTTCTAAGTCAGTTATTTTTCCAGATTCTGGTTTTTAATCTCTTAAGACTAGTTCTTTGTGTAAAAGTTGTTTTAAATAGTCATAGACTGGTTTGTGTTCTCAAAGTAAGAATGAGTACTTTGTATGATAAAGTTGCAACAGGAAGCAAACAAGGAACAAAAAAATTCCAGCAGCTCCTTTTGCAAGTCCTTCAGTAACGTAGCAGCAGCTCATGGGAACCTAGAATAAGACAAAAAGCAACTAGATTAAACTGGACTAGTCAGAAGCCAAATATGAAGAAACACTCCAACCTTCCATTAGGTGGCCCAGAATCCTGAAAGCAGCTGCAGAGCGTCTGCCTTATAGATACATGGGCAGAAATCCCAATCCCTTGGCACACCCTAGAAAAGCATGAAGGTCCCAGAAAGGGTCAGTGGTGCACTGTGCCAGCCAGATATAGGAGTGCACAAACCTAGGGAGGAGAGGAAAAAAAAAACAGACTCAGAACAAGGGAAAATAATTTGCTATATCCAAATTAATCGGAGAAGCAAGACCAGTGCTCTCCCTTCAGAGATTCGAAATAGAGGATCGCAAGAGGTGACAAGAGGTAGGAAAGGGATAAACTGGAAGCTTTATGCCAGCCTCCTTGAATTAATAAAAGGTGTAACTGAATTAAACAAAGAGTAGTTCAGAAATTCAGTACCACTGCCTGTCTTGTAATATTAACTCCATTTCCCTTGCAGCAAGTTTTATTGACTGTGTTTAGTGGACCCTAAAAGTCAACAGAGTGCAAGTGGTGGCTGGGGTAGATACGCACAGAAAAGCTTTTGATACTGTAAAATAAATCCATCTATTGGGGACTTCTCTTAAGTGACAGGCAAAGAGCTAACACCAAGATTGAAACTGTAGATTAAACAAAAATTATTGAAATTAAATCACCAGGCTTCATTTGTTATCTTTGTTTCAGAGCTAACCATGGGCAGCTCACCCCTCTTTGCTGAGCTATTGTTCCAGGTCAAGACAGACAGCAGTATCCAGGGTCTCTGATAACTGGTTTAAAACTTAGTAACAGTTTAGCCAAAGCATCAGGCTCAGCACAGAAATTTACTCCGCTTCTTTGCTACCATGGTTAGCGTTACCCTGGCACTGCTCAAGCTACGTTACTCACACCAGCTCAGCTTCCTCTTCTGCTGCTGCATATCATGCCTCTCAGAGACGTGCTGCATTTTCAGTGTCCAGATCTCTGCTGATTTTAAGTCTTTAACCCAGCTCTGCCTCTCAAGACATTTCACAATTTACTAACAATCCTGATAAAAAGTTAGAAGTGACAGGCATTAAGTACAGTGTGCAGGAACATTTGGCTGAGCAGGCGGCAGGCAGGTTCTCCCTTCTGTAGGCCTTAATGCTCAGTAGAAGCTGTTCTGAGAGAAACAGGTACTTCTTCCCTTTGAGCCTCTCTTCCCGTTACTCATTTCCCACTTGGCATTCCAACTGTTGAAATAAACACACACACACAAAAGCCCCCTGACGTCACTAGGAAGAGATGCAGCAGCGAGAAGAGAGTTGTTTTGTTGTTTGTTTGTTGGGTTTTTTTTAATGAAGGGACACAGAACCTGATATTTTTTTTCCCCATAGCAAAGAACCTGCAAGCCCCTTGCCCTCTTTCTATAAGCAAAAAAAATTAATCAAACAACAGAGTACTATGAAGCCAGCTGACTATTCACATATTTCCCCTTCTTCCCTTGGGAAAAAAAAAAAAAAAGACTCTGAACACAGGAGAATGAGTTTAAACATTTATTTAAACAGAAACTCCAAACCACTCCACCCTTTAACCTTTCAAAAAAAGACAATGACAAACTAGTTTTCAGCCAGAGTGTCAGAGCAGGCATAAGTTGTGTTCCACTATAACAACTCAGTAGCAATACTAGCAGGAGACCAACACATACGGAGCTAGCACTGCAAGACGGGGAGAAGTAAAAAGGGTTTGAAACTGCTCAAAGGCACTTCTGCCCACTTGCCCTTCCGTTTTCAGCCCAAGACGAAGGTGCTGGCTTTAAACTGCTTTTTTGGTTGCATAGCTGGCTGGTGTGAAATCTGTGGTCTGTAACAGGCACAACCTGGATAGCGTGAATCCTCTAAGGCACATATGAGATTGCGGAGCACAGGGCATCCTCTGTCAGGGACCCTAATCCTCCACTAGATCCAAGGGGAATCCAGTCTGTGCACCTAGCTTCCCAACTGCAGAGCATTGAGAAATGAGGATAGCAGTGCACTGCAGGAGAGCGACTCCCATCAGCTGGGTGCTTGCTTATTGGACATGGCTCAGGCTCAACTCTTCACTCCTCAAAGGCGCTGCCGCAACGTGACCAACTCAATCATTGCTAACTGCAACAACAACCGTCAAGCCGGGACCCTAACCTGAGAACTGGCTCTAACGCGCATGGCGGAAAGGACAGCAGAGGCACGAGGGCAACTAAGCCACGTGGTCACGCCAGGGCGCCCAACGCTCACCACCTTGCAGGAGGGCTGTCCTAGCCTTCCTTTGGTAACGATGGTGGGGCACACCGGTACAATCTTTGGCCTTGACACTGCACTGGAGGGACTGCACTTGAATCAGCTCCAAGATACTAGCAATAGGCACCAAAGAAGTATTTTAGGAGCACGAGTTACAAGCAGAATGGTTTGGCATCCACCTCTAGAGACAAATGGGGAACGCTGGATCCCTTGGAACAGTCTCTCAAAAGAAGTAGCATAGGAGAGGTCATAGGATATCCAACTCCAATAGACCTGAGGCAATTCTGGTTACATGCCATCGGTAGGGATGGTTTAAGCCTAATGAAGTCACAACCCCACTCTCACAGCAAAGGTGAGAGGGACTCAGGACTCCTTAGAGGCTTCACGTAAGGTAAGGGAGGCTAGCTGCTCCCAGGGATCCTACTGATCTCAAAAGCTTAATTCAAAGTCAGTTTGTTAATAAATTTAAGGGGAATAAAATTAACCTCATTCTCTCAGGAAATGAGGAAATCTTGAGCATCAGACCATGCCTCTTCCCATCTCCAACTTTCTTGGGAAAGCCTTTCGCTTTGAGGATGGTGAATTCCGGACAGAGACTTGATCATTCATGGTCATCAGGGAAGGCTGCATCCTGTGCCCACGGCATTAATGACCTATTCTGGGTAGGAAACTGCATTCCAGCTTCATCAAAACACTGAGTGGAAAAACACTGATTCTTCCCACACCCACACAGAGCGTGGGCACCAGGGGCTGCGCAGAACAGAAGCCAAGCAGGGAGCAGCTACGGGCTTATGCCAAGAAACCAGAAGCTCTGGCACCTAAACCAAGTAGAACAGCTGGAGCAAGAAATGGGTAACTTAGTCTGAGGCCCAGATGCGTGTCATCTGGTTGGGAAGCAGGTGGTCTGAAACTGAGAACCAGAGATCCCATCTCAGACAGTCCCTGCTACTGCTATTTGAAACACCTGATTCACTCATCTTGGTACATTGCCTGGAAGTTGGAAAGCTCTAGGCACCCAGAATAAAGCCTTTAAACTCTGTCTATACAGGCCATTGGACACAGCCATATGGCCAGAAGTTGTGCCTCAAGGCCAGGGACATGCTGTCTACCATTATCTCCCAAATAGGAAGATCTCCACTGCCTCCAGAATGAGACATTCTCTGCTCCCTCTGCCCCTAAGCAGGGAGAGGATCCTAGTCCTTCACCCCTCTGAAGTGAAGGTGGCGAGTCTTAGGGTTCAGCCAGCTTCAGTACAAAACACGTCTCCTCCTCTCATCTAGAGATGCAGTGATGAATACTGGGGTCCCAAAGGCAGCTCCCAGGAAGCAGTGAAACAATGAAAGGGCCACAAGCCGCTACTGGAGCCATCGCTGTAATGGGGCCGTTCTGCCTCACGTGCAGAATTGACAGATAAGGTACAAAGAGGAGCTGCTGCTGCTTCAATCACTGAGCTGGCCTAGAGCTCGGGGGCCCTTCCCCTCTCAAACTCACTCCTAGTTCATATCAAACGTACATGGGTGCTGCTCTGGAGCCTCCGGCCTCGCTCCTTGTCTGCGAGTGACCTGAAGCCAGGAAAGCCGCTCTCTGCATTCGGTTAGTGTGCTGTGAAGTTAGATGGATCCCAGTGGGCTCAGGAGACTAGAGGCTGGAGCGGCACGAGTCCGTTCCCAGGAGACACCAGGAATCTGAATCCAAGTCAGGTTTCGGATCCACTTCCATCTCCTCTTTGGCTGTCTGTGTTCCTTTGGAATGAACCTCCACCTGCCAAACGACACAGCAGTTATCCAAAGAGCTCTAGGACTAACTGCAAAGAAGTTAGGAGCTGCGTAAGGCAGTTCCTATTCTTCACAGCCACCTGGGACTCTCCAAGACATCTGACTGCCCATCGCTTCTCACCAGGAGAAATAAAGGGGAATCCCAGGTCCCTCAAGGACTGGACTGTCCTCACAGTAAACTGTCTTCTTGGCTTCATTCCTGTTGCTACTACCAGGGCCTGCATCAGCAGCTCAAACATGAGACAGGCACCATGCTCAGTCCCCCCATTCTGCTCCAAGAGAGACATCTGTTACAAGCTCCTTCCTTCTGCACAGCCTCTACTATCTATGCAGGAGCCAGGATCAGCATAGTGAGCCTTGGACATGGATGTGCACCGAGGTGATGGGTCCTCACCTGCTGCATTCCCTCCGTCCCCCTGCAGAACAGCTGGAGTTGGGTACTCAGACGAACAGTTTCCTGCTGCAGCTTCTTCTGATCATCCAGACACTGTAAAACCAGGCCTCGGAGGTGTGTCACCTCCATTTGCAGAGCACTGCACATGCAGCCTGCAACGGGAGATGCAGCTTTCCCTTCACCGCATGGCAGGGTTGGACTCAGGCAAGTAGGCTGCAGACACACAGAGGGAAGTGACGTAAGGTTTGAGTGCAAGGCCAGGAGTTGTATGAGCCACAAGAAGAAACCATGCATAGAACATGTCACCCTGGCTTGTTTCCAGGCTTCCCAAACTTCTAGCAGCTAAAGTCAGCAAGCTACTAGAGTCAGTAAGTCTTCGGTACAAAGCCACTAACTTCCTCTTTTTTCTGTAAAAGCTGCTCCTGTCCTCCCATCACCAAAATCCATCTGGTTTACCTCCCTTTCCCTAAGACTGGGATCTCTGCCTCCTCTTTGAACAGAAAACTCCTGGAATAAGGTAGTCTCACAGGCTGCAATTTCTCAGTGATTTCCTGTATCAGTTCTTCCTATCTCTCAACAACTTCTGCTTTCTAAAGTTCTATCTTCTGCTAGACTTCTGGGTCCTAGGCTTCTCTTTTTTTCCCCAAGTGCATTAACTGCATTTTTCCACAGAACTGATCTCATCATTTTCAATCTGACCAAGTCCCAGCTTTGTGTTCTAGATTCCAGTGAATTTTCTCTTTGCAGCATCATCTCTGACTATAAACAACCCTCTTTTCCTCATCCAGATGAATTAGACCAATTAAACACCCTCTTCTCATCTCTTCCCATAATTCAAACATTACCATTTATGGTCCCCAACAACTTCACTTGGGTCCCCCAAGCATTCACTTGGATAACATTACCCAGGGCTCCGTTTTGGGCCTGTTTAATCCAACAGGTTCTTCAGAAGCCACTTTGAGTCCTTGAAGTTTCTGATAAGGGAGTGTCTCTTTCTCGGGCTCTGAAGATGCCATGCTTAGAGGAAAGGGGCTGTCAGGCATGGGGATGAATTCAGCGTTCTCCAGCTCCTGGATACACAAAAGCAGCACAGTCAGGTCTGCCTGCCTTCCTGCAGCTGACTTCATCTCCTCAACAATGCACCAACACCCTCTTGTGGTAAAAAAGGCAGCGAGGCCCGAAGGACTTCCCACACAGCACAGCTCTGAGAACCTTTCAGAGCATCCCTTAAAGGTGGAAGGGGCCACCTGCTTTTCCCCAGCCTAGATCCTCATTTTAAGGCATTTTTAAGATGCCACATTACCTTCCGCAGCCAGCCAGGGCAGGAGCTGCTGTCAGCACTGTTGCCTCCCTTAGCTTCTGTGGTGCTGATCCAGCCCCCCAACTCACGATCTGCTTCCATGGTTCCCCGAAAGCCTCCACTGGGATTGGGAGTCTCCACTTCCTGTTCATTATCCTCTTCCTCTCCTCCTCCAGTTGTGCAGCTCTGAGCCACTACCAAACAAGAGTGAAAACTTTATGCTTTCCCCACCTCTGCTATTTCTGTTGCCAAACCCCAGCTGGAGCAGAGCAGATATAGAAATTTGGGCTGTGTGGCCACAGTGAGAGCACATGCTAGCAGCATCTCTCTCAACAGCTTATCTCCTAACACTCCCTACAGGCCTCCCCAAAAGGGCTTGAGTGCAGCAGCCTTTTGCAGCTTCTTCACCCCAGCCCTCCCACAGGTCCAAGAAACTGGATTCCAGCAGCTGGCCCATAGTCCCCCCCATCAGCTCCCTTTAGTGAATTCCTCTCTGCTTTTCCTTGTCAAATTGAAGTTCCTCAACTACAAAGGCCTCGCTGCATCCGTGTTCTTCCTCCTCTGTTTCAGTTCTTTTTTTCCCACCTTTAGGCCATCCCTTCCAATGCACGGCACCAACTAGATTTCCTCTCTCCGAGCTCTTCAGTGAGGCCTCTCAAACACAGAGAAACCACGCTGTAGGACCAAACTGTACCCACTCAAACTAACCACTGAATGAACTTAGGCCACAGCTCCCCTGGGCAGGTTACTTACCAGTACCAATGGACAGGCCACTGCTGTTGGATCGAATTGTTTTAGAGTTCAACACCTTTTCTGCAAGGAGAGAAACACGCTTTCAGTTAGACTGCCACAAGAAAAGCAAGACAACTCCTACAACAGCACGCAACAAAGCCAACATTGCAGGCCTAGAGCTCAGAGCAGCTTGCTACATTCCTCTACAGCAACCTGACCTGTTCCCAAGCAGTATTTATAGTCTAGGCCCTGGAAAGCACTATGTCATCACAACCAAGATCCCAAAATTTCATCCTAAACTTACACTTACCGACAATGATGATGGTGTGCCAGCCACGGCATGACAGGTCTGGAACATGATGCAACGATCCAAATATTGGCCGAGGCCACGAGGTACAGATATCCGAGCCATGAGCTCTCTCGGTCGATGTCATTGCCAGACGGCCATTCCCACCATTACCCCAGGCAAAGATATGGTTGTCTGAGGAAAGAGAGATTCAGGAGCCTCAATTAACTCCCTCCCTCTCAGCCTGTAATTGCTACAAGGATCACAGCCTCTCTGCTGTAACTGCTATCCCAAAGTATCTAATCCACCAGCTCCATTTTGCCAGTGGGAGAACAAACTGGTAACGAAACTACAGGCAGCCACCCAGCCAACACTCTGCAGCCCCAAGGACAGCAAATGCTTGGTGCTGCACTGGGACAACTAACAGGGCCAGGCAGCCCCAGCCTAGGAGGATTTCTATATTTCAGTGCAGTGCTGTGGGGGTGGTATAGAAAATGCTCAGTGGGAGCCAGTTAACCACCCTGCAGATCTAGTTCAAAGGAACCCACCACAACTTCGCAAAGACCCACTCACCGTCAGTAGCTGCTATGGTGAATTCATCTCCACATGAAACCCTGATCACCTGCTTACCCCCCAAGGGGCCTCCCAGCAGGTTAATTCCCAGGTGCTTCTTATAGTCCCCAACACCAAGCTGTCCGCACTTGTTGGAGCCGAACGTCAGCAGGCGGCCTCGCTCTAAGAGGAGGAACGAGGAGACAGTCACAGCGAGGGCCCAACACTGGAAGCAGCCATGCATGCAGAGAACTAGCAGCAGCAGCAGCCCACGACCAGAAAGGACTCTGCTGAGAAGCCAGACAGGCTGGGAGGGGACAGTGCCAGCCAAGAGGAATGGCTTCAGCCTGGAAACATCTCCCCAGCAGCTTCTCCTGTTGCTCCCATTTTCTGATGCTGGGGGCTGGGACTCCTTATAGCCCTCTGACTGGTGTGACTGCGGCAAAGCCTAACTTGGTCATAAATGATTCCTCTGCTATCCCAGAGCATGATTCTTCCCCAAACTTCCCCCCCCCCCCCGCCCCTTTAAAAAAAAAGGAAGGCTAACCCTAAACCTAATGTTGCTGCTTCAGCTGGCCAGGAAGCAACGCTGCTGAGGAACAGGAATCCTGGATTCCTGGAGCAGGCATGAGCCCTGCTGCCAAGAGCACAACCCTCAATGTCAAGGGCCAGGCTGAAAGGGCAAAGCTGATGTAAAGTAATTCAGCAATCAGTATTCACTTCTTGATACATAGGGCTCACCATCAATGGAAGCTGTGTGTGTCTTCCCTGGAGAAATGGTACGGATCTTGTAGAAGGACAGCTGCTTGGCCAAAGTAAGGGAAGTGGCATATGGCACCTCACAGTACGTCTGAGAAAAGACATGTGGGTAAGCACAGAGTAAAAAACCACACATTCATCAGCTAAGACCTACTCAAGCAGGTCTTGGCAGACCATCTAGACAGTCCCAACATGCGTATGGTAAAGAACTGCCAGAATCCATGTCACTGGCCAAGTTATCCTGGAACAGCTCGCTATCTGTTTCCCTACCTCAGATCTGACATAAGCCCATAGGGCAGACAGGAAACTGAGGAACAAACTGCCTCTTCCTACAATTCCAGTATCCATTATTTTGGCTTGGAACTGACAAATTGGCACAAAGCTAATGAATGCTTTGTCACTGTCACAGGACCTCCAATTCCCCATATACTACTGGACCTCCAATTCCCCATATACTACTGACTGCTGGAAGCTGGAGCCAGGGACCCAAATGGACTTACGTCATGATTGATTATCCCTGATGTGCACTGATTCAGGCCCAGTTTGTTGAACTCGTTCAGTCCACATGCCAACACTTTGCCTGTCTGCGTGAGCAGGAAAGTCCCATCACAGCCACAGTGAACGGACACAATGTTTAAAGTCTTTGGAACATCAACCTACGTGGAAAAAATATATCCCAAGAAAATCAAAATCCCAACACCTACTATATAGAAGATAGCACATGAAAAACATACCGGGTTAGAGCAGTGGTTCAGCTAGTCTGGGCACCGACAACACCCAATGCAGTTATTTTGAATGAAGGTGGAAGAATATCATAAAGTCTATAGCATACTGAAACTCCAGTCACTATACAGAAATTCAAGGCATTCTAGACCTTGTGTGCAGACACCGGTGAGCCAGCACATGAACCAGAAATGTGGTACACAGGTATTCTGGCCAGCTGGGGTGTACAAGCACCAGACCCAGTTAGCCGAACAGGGCTGGGTCCATGCTGTGTGGGTGTGATACTCTGATCACAGACACTTGACTTACAGACATATCCTTTTTGGTTTCTAACCCCCAATGGGTTAGGTTACTTCAATTACCTCTAGCACTGTATTTCAAGAAGGTTTTACTTTCAACTCATCTTTAACTCATTATGTCAAATTCAAAGACTCCCAGTTGTTTGCGCTGCTGCGAGTTTCCTCTACAGACCCGACATATGCTATTTGGTATTTCCTACTACGATTTCTACATTAAGTTCGACATTTCCAGTTCCAGCTTGGAGATCAGAGCAATGAAGCTCTACGGCATGATGCTGCCGGCTTTGGGAGTGGCATGTCCCTCTGCCATGATCTCTATGGACAGATGAAGCAAAATAAAGTGAGGAAGTAAAGTTAAAACTCTCACAAACTCTATGATACCTCAGAAAACACACTGGAGCCTCAGACAGTTAGTATTTCTAAGCAGCAACTAATTTCGATTTATGTCCATGCAGATTTTAAGACGACGTAGTCACAGCCCTACCTTCTGAGGGGTGTAGTGATCTTCTTCTGAATCCAAGCCCAAGCGCCCTGCACCAGTGAAAACACTGCAGTTAGAAAGGGTTAGGTGCCCACCCCTCAGAAATGGTATTGTCTCTCCATAGTCCCAAAGGAATCCTCCTACAGACCTAGAAACCTGCTCCCCTGCCTGCATCGTTGCCTGCCAATCCTCAACATAATCCAACCCCACTCAGAGAACAACTGTCCTACCCACAGGGAAGCCAAGTGGCACCCTAGAGCTTCCCAGAGTAAAGTCCCAAGGGCTCAGTCCCCAGTTGCCCATTCTTACAAGGAAAGAAAGCCCCAAAGAAAGAATGGTCTTTGTCCCCAGGATATACCAGACAGCCCTCACCCAGGCCCTGCATTACACACCTGCACCAAGCCGCTTTCTGGAGCGGGCATGCCCTACTGCCTTTAGGTTCCGGGAAGACGCTACCTACCATACTCTCCACAGCCCCACGTGTAGACTTCTCTGTTCCTGGTCAGCACTGCCACATGATTATCTCCACATGAGACCTGCTCCACAGGGTTGGTGAGAAAGAAATCCAGCTGCAGGGGCTCAAGCACTTCAGAGCCATAAGCCTTGTCAATGCCAATGCATCCATAATAGTCAGAGCCAAAGGCATACACCTGGCCCTCATCTGAAGGATACAAGGAAAGCTGGATCAACACTCAGAGCTTGTATTAGGCTGCATATTAACCTCTTAGGACACAGCCAGAGCAACCCTTTTTCTATAATCCTCCTCCTCTTTAGTGCAGAAGAATGTCATCAGGAGAATATGGAGTCCTTTCTTCTTCACATTTAGATGGATGACCTTACACTACAACCTGTAGCTATTTCAGGCCACCAGTATAAAAAAATCTTGGGTTGAAGATGCCACTTTCTTTAACAGAAACCCACAAATTGATCTTGTGTCTCCCTAAGTCACTCCTCCAGCACACTGAGCCTCTGAGCTTATGTCTGTCAAAACTCTGCTTTTCCAGCACTGGCAAAATAAGCTGGAAGCTACCTTGTTGAGAATTATGTATTCATGGGTAAAGTGAGATTCAAATTCTTCTGTAACAGACAACGCCACAGTTAACACATCTTTAAAAGTATGAGCAGGGTTAGAACTAGAGACACCTGCCAGGTCTCAAGCTTTCCGAATTAAACAGCAAATCTCAAATACACGTCTTCTTTT